ATCTAATCTCAGTCATGAATAATTTATAAGACTGCTTCTTCCTAGAGGGTACGTCTCCACTTAGAAAATATCCACAAGCAACACAACCACCCTCCACCCTGATACGTTTTGCCTCCTGAGCCAATATTCGAGTGGAAGAAATCAGAGGCAATCTCTGATTTACCATAGCTCATAATGGTGTGAATGTAAATGGATCAAGGTTCAAATTATGATGCCCCAAATCTCAGTCTGTAAAATTCTGATACAATACAGTTGACAGCCCCACCTTTACCACCATCTTCCCTCTCCCTTCTCTCTACACCAGTAGTTACACAAGAAAAGTAGCCATGCTTGGGTCTCTGTGTAGGCCCTGGGATCTGATGCAACTAGTATGCAGTAGAGGAAGGGAGCAATAGCGAAATTCGGAATGATCAACTGGTTTAAAAATGGCTATCCTATAATGCTTTCCCTCATTCATGTTTTCTCATTCGTGTTCCCTCTGAAGTTAAACAGGCCTCTAGTGATATCAAATTGGATTAATGATTTAAAAAGATAACCTGTGACCTGGTAGATCTGGAACTTATTGGGAAACAAAGAACACGAATTAACTTAGAACTGAATGATTTCAAATTTATAGACATGGGCTGGATTTACATTCAATCTTATGTCATAAAATCTGGTTTACAAAGAGCATTTATCTTATAACAACATGCAAGGCTGCTTAAGAAAGTGTTTCAAATATTTTTCATAAGATGTTAGTAAAACAAAAGTTTTGAAACCATAGGCGAACTATAAATGATTTTAATCTATTCTTTAAAGCCAACCCAGTAGGTGGTTTGTGTAGTCATACCCTTAGTAATCAATCATTGGCCTGGCTTATGTCATTATATATAACAAATACATGTGTGATAAAACATTAAAAAATATTATGACTTTGACTTTTCACTAATTCAGGCCTATCTTAGTCAATTATTATTCATTGGTTTAAAAGGACTGAGTTGATTAGTTTAGAGTCAAATTCCCTTTTATATACTCTAATTTGAGCCATCACGATAACAATAACCAGGCGCTCTATGCTCTTTAGATCACTAAATCCTCACACAACTACACAGGGTGGTATTATTCACTCCATTTCACAGATCAGACAAGTGAGGCTCAAACAGGTAAGCAATCTGTCCCAAATCTCAGTTGCTAAAAGGTAGAGCAAAGACACAAATCTTGGTTATCTAACTCTAAAGCTGCCATGTTTAACCACTACGTTACAGAAACGCCACTACCTTCTATTTGTACAAAAAAATCACTGCCAGATAGAACCTGAATAACAACAATTCTGCTCTGCATAATTCTTTACAGCCGACAAAGAACCTCTGTAGCTGCCTCTTGGAGGGCACAGAATAGAGTATCAACATGTGTACAAAGCATGTTTCCCTTGGTCACTTCCTGGTAAATCCATAAAATAGTATACTTTAGATAATTTCCAAAGGGTCCCCTTGGTTATTCCTACTTCACCCAGAGAGGAGATCCATGCATTCAATATAAAGATACATTAAATGAAGAAAATCCTTTGTATATTTTTCAAAGCACTTCTACCTTCACTGGCTGATTTAAAGCCAGCCACCCTGTGGGGAGGTGGCATATAGGATCATCCCTATTTGAGAGACGAGGAGACTGAGGCTCGGAGTGAAGTCCCAGAGCTAGTGGGTGACACTGGCAGGATCAGAACCCAGGTCTTCTAGTTCTCTTCTCATCTACCAGTCCCTTCTTCAGGGTCTGAACCACAACTCGGGGGCCTAGAGAGCCCTCTATCTTGCTGCAGGTGTACCTGGCATCGGGTGGGTTCTGCAGGTGAAGAAGTAAGCCCACTGCCCAGAATCCCCCTTTCCCCTGGGAATCTGGCAGTGATCCTAAAGAAACAAAGCACTGAAATACATGTTCTCTTATTTTGCCAACTTACTGACCAAAAATAACTCAAAAAGGACAAGGAGTTAAATGAATAATTTTGAAAGTGAAAAGGCCAGCATGAGAGGAGAAATAATCTGTCTGAATTGTAGATTTAAATAAGACATTCTTTCCGATCTCCGGTCATAATGGGACCATCTCCTCAATGACAACTTAACATGAAACTGCAACAGGAGTTACAGACATTCTCGGCTCCTCCCACCGAACACTATCATCAGAGATAAAAGTCTTCATCCATGTTCACGCTTGGCTACACAGGATGTGCAGTTAATAAACTTCATACTCACCTTGAGAAAAATGGCCTATTGTAAAAGCAAAAATTTTTTCCCCAAAGCATCAATTTTAGAATGCTTTTAAAATGTACCAACAACAAATCAAGAGGCAGATTAAAATCAGTTCAAGAATACAATAGGATGGCATGGCCACACACAAAGAGACGGGACCAAGGAGCAGAAATAAATATATCTGAAAGACTGAAAGACTTAAAGACACACAGCATCATTTCATGATGCTTCATCCAAAGGCAAAAGCATGGTCTTAAGTTTCTAATATGAGAGGCTTTTAATTCAGCGCTTTGGGGATTATGTTTGTGTTGGTCTGATGGTCCCTAAGGGGCTTTGCAACATAAGTCATCTTCCTTTTAACATTTACATCCTTCTAGTTTTGTAATTCCTCTAGTGTTCCCTACAAAAAAATGTGAAGAATCCTAAGATTAAAATAAAAATATTTTTAAATTTGCTTTAATAAGAAAATGAATACAAATGGCCCATTTTGATTTTTTGTTACTTGGGAGAAAGTCAAGGGGGAGTAGCTGTGCTGAGAAGCCCAGGTAATTGTGGGGGAGGTAGGAACATGCCAGCCCCTCATCGGTTTCCTCATAGACACTTTACCATCTCTCAAGATCTGGCTCATAGCCCCTTGGTCTACACTTCTACCCTAGCTTTGCCATCCTGCACTGCTTAACAACAGTCTCCCCCACTAGACGACAAATGTCTGAGCACAAGGCCTCCGTCTGTGTCTTAGACATCCTGGCACCCCTGGCCGCTGGCCCAGAGCCGGGCATTCAACAGAACTCAGGAAATGCTGGCCAAATCAGCCAACAGGGATGAAAAGCTCTGCTTTGCAGGCCTGGTTCTTACTTTACACAAAATACTCCTCAGCATTTCCTACAAAAGTGGCCTTAAGGGTGGAGTAGAGTCAGTATGCAGCTTTTGGGAGCTGGGGCACAACATGAAGTGACAGTGAAAAATCACTGGGAAGTCTTGGATTTTATTTGCAAAATTTACGTGTCATTTGTATTCTTCTTCGTAACGGATCTAGTTTTGTTTTGATATAAAAATGTTTTTTAAGTTACTTATCATTTTCCCCAAAATATATTTCAGTGAACTGATTGTTCCATGAAGGTACATGCCTTTTTTTATCCTCCAACTTTGGGTACCCCCATGAGGGTGCATGTTTAATGCCCACCATTGTAACAAGGAGCCCTTCCTCCCATCTTTTCCTTTTTATTTTTTTAAGCTGCTTCATCATGCCAGGCGATGGTTCCTGTTCTGGAAAGCTCAGAGATAAGGCATGTCACTGGCACTGTTAAAATTAGTGGTTTCCATGGCCTCAGTTTAGTTAGGTTTAGGTGACATGGAGTGCCAAGGAATTCACAACAGACTTGCTTTTGACCTTGTACAGGCTGTTCCTGTGGCAAAATCAAGCACAATGCTATTCCTCCAGGGATAGATTCCACCTTTACAATCCCAACACCAACCTAAGGCCACGGAGGGTTCATTAGGAAGAAGGCTCTTTTAAAGTTTTAAGTGGAAGTGCATGAGGCTCAAGGAAAGGTTTGTCTGCACTAGGAAGCTTTGGTAGGGGTAGGGGTAGGGGGTGGGGGGGTATGCTGTCACATCCCACCTCAGTCCCAGTCCACCCCCTCCCCACTCCTCTCACTGTGGGCCATTTCTAGATAGGGTCTTCTCATGAGTGTGTCCATGAAGTAAAACTGACCACACTCAGCCAAGGAGAATTCCAAAATTGTTATCCCCCGAAAATGGACAAGGAGGTTACAGGAAAGATGAGGAAAGGAAGCAGAGATGGATAACTCAGCTTTCTGCTCTGGAAAAGGCAGTGTTGAGAAAAATGAGATAAAGGTCTCCACACTGACTCATCATTACATGAAGACATCAATTCCCCGAGATATAAGCTCAGAAAGAGGAAGATAAAGTGAGTGAAGAGAAGATAAACTTCTAGCTCCCTTCCCTGGGGTACTGCCCTTTCTGGGGTGTCTGCAGGATGATGGGGATGCGAAGCTGCCCCAGGGTCTCTTGGATGGCAACTACAGGCAGGGCAGAGCCCAGAAACACCGGGGTCCCCTTTTCTAGAAGGTTAATCATAGAGCTGAGGTTAACAAAATGAAATTCCAAAAATGGTGACTGAGTGACAAGGACTATGATAAGACCAAAAGACATGTACGTGCAAAAAGTTGATCATTACTCTACATTTAAATAAAGATTCTACCAGTTAAGATTAAAAATGAATTAGAGGGAAAATTCTCACAGTGACAGCAGCAGAAAATCAAGCTAATAAATGATCCTGATCAGAAGGATGTCAGACTTTGAAGTTTGTTCAGCCTTTATGTGCTAATCTAGGCTTATTTCTCCTTCACAATGAAATCTGAAACACCATGGAAATATTTAAGATACACTGTGGGTAATTTCAAAGAGCCAGGTTATGTACCAATGGAAATAAAACCACAAGACGCCCTTTCCTGGGGGAGAACAAGGTTGGGACTCCTTTTTCTCACTGGTAATCCACTTCTACACATTGGCAAATTAATGTGACTGGCTTCAGGGAAACGTTTTCATTAAATTAATAGTGCTTGGCAAGCATCAGAAACACAAAATCTCACAGACGCAGGCAGAAAGAATCACAGTTCAATCCAAAAGCAACACACAGAGGGGACATCAGAGTCCACACGCATGCAGAGGAGCCACAGAGGGCAGCTGGGAGACACGCAGAGCCGCCTCACACATGGCAGCAGCACGGTGTGCAACATGGATCCAACTGCTTACCCACTAAGGACACCAAGAACCAGGTTAAGGACGAAAAATGAGCCAAGGATGATCAGACTAACAAAATACACCCATGGCCATTCCCATCCTATCGCATCATTTACCTGTAAAATGTAAGGAGATCAGTTATCAGTTATCTATTGACTAAAGAGCAGAGCCCCAGGAGCAGCTGCCAGACAACTTGGGACTTTGATGAAAGATTAGTGCTCCCAGGACAGAGACCCCACCCTAGACCTTCTATTTTTTATCTTTGAATAAGGACAAGTTCTGCTGCTGAGATCTACAGATGTGGCCTACCAAAAGTCGGCCAGGACCAGCTCACTTAGCTACTGTTTTGTACCAATTAATCTGGATTATATTTAGATCCAGACAAATAAAGCGATTATAAATGAATCTCATTTTAGGACAGACAAAAGGGGAAGCGGTGGAAACTATTTAAATCCCAAGCAACAACGCTGATTAATTTCTGGTCAATAACTATCCTATAGTTTTCTTTCATAAAGGCTGGTGAGGTTCCAGGAAACATCATAATTTAGGAAGGCTCAGCAGAAAAGAAAGCATCTTGGAGGACACAGAAAGCTCTTGGCACCCACCCGGTGGCCCCCATCTAGCAAAGCCTGTGTGGTCTTGGCAACTGTCCTCAGGACTCTGCTTTCAAGATGAAAGAGGTGTAGCTTACCCGCTCAATACACCAAGTACAAGATTTAGTACGAAAAATGACCCAAAGATGACGAGACTGACAAAATAGACCCAGGGCAATTCAAATCCCATAGCATCATTCATCTGTAAGAAATAAGATGGTCTCATAGGAGTGGGTTAATAAGAGAATCTAGTAAGGAGAGAGGGTCACATTAGAGACAGCATTCTATACATTCTATACATTTAATGAAACATTTACTTAAATTCATATCAGAAACAATAGTGGCCAATGAACATTCCTTATATATTCCCAACACACGCACACACACGCACACAGAGTCATCAAAGCTTTCAGGGCAAATAGGAGCAGAGTCTGGCCACTGGTAAGGAAATTAGCTGGGATTTGGCTCTTCCTCAGTTAACTGCCTTGATAAGGGATTTTTAGAAAAGAGCTTGGTAGGGGACAAAACGTTCTTAGCTCAAAATTATTTTCTACTCTGCTCAAGTTGTTAGTACTTTCTTGTTTTTAAAATTTGTGATGGTGGAAAGGTCTTCGAGAGACATATTGGCAACATTTAACTCTACAAATTCTTTTTTTTAAAAAAATGCTAAAATAATAACTTTGCTTTAGAAGCCAACCTAGCCAAGGACCCTAACCCACCTGAAATCAGGATTATCTGCAATCAGAGTGCAAGCTCAGCTACACTAACGCCAGTAAGGAAAGTGTTCAGAAGTCATCTAGCTGACACGTATTCAAGGCTACTTTTGGGAATGAGATTTTTCCAACTGCACCCACGGGAAGGATCCAAGAGAAGGAAAAAGTTGTTATCCCCTACACCTATCTTGGACCTAGATGGCCCACCCTGGGAGAGCCGGCTCCAGCTGTGAGCTGGCTGGCTCGTCCAGAGGAACCCCATGTCTCTACTTGCGGGACAAGCTCAAGCAGGACAGTCAGATATGGCCTCCCTGATAGATCATCCGAGGTACTTTAAAGTTCACAGCTGGATGGAACTTTCCAGCAGGAACAGGTCAGTGTTAAATTGGGCAAATGCTGTTCCCAGGAAGGAGGTGTTGAGGACCAGTCAGGGGACCAAATGAATGACCCTGGGCCTGACTTTGCTGGACACCCAAAATCTTCAGCCCAGAGACCTATAGACAGTCTGGGCCTATTCCGTGGCTTTTGCCTTGCAGGTGTAAGCACTTAGGCCTTTAAGCATGTGCTTTCTTCCACATTATCTGGCTCCAGGTTTTAGCTTTACAGAATAAGGCTCATGCGTTCACTCTGTTTGCCTCATGCAGAAGCAAAATAGGAAAAGAGAACATCAAAAAAAAAAAAAAATTACCTAACATCTGTTGCTGAAGTCTAGGGAGAGGGCATTAAACCCCTTATGAAACACCTGTTTGGCCACATGAAAACTGATGTGCTTAATAGAACTCATATCAGTCTGCACATCTTACATTGGCAATTAGAGTAATAAATGAGCCAAGGCTGTGGCTGCAATTGTTGATCTAATTAAGCTGGATAAACAAAAAAAGAAGGCAGAGATTCTTCCAAAGCATCTACACCACCAAACTTATTTAAAAACCCATGTGTGGAGAAGAAACAAGCTGCCTTGTGTAGCGGCTAGAGCCCAGCCTGGAGTCAGGATCTTCCAGAGACTTCTCTGGGCCTTTTCCCCCTCTTTCAGAACAGAACTGTATATGACAGAGGAGTGCATGCTCACAGGGAAAGATGCTTAAGTCCAAGACTGCCACCAGGAGACCTTGCTTTAATACAGCTTTGGCAAAGTCAGTTGAGCCATCTCCTTCACCAAACCTCGTTCAGGCCTCAGTCTCGTGTTCCAGAGAATGGCTCTAGTAACAGCTATCTGCCTCACTTGAGAGGGAAATTTTTTTTTAAAGACTCTTTTAATTTCTTATGAGTCTTTGATAGCTTCACATTTGCTCAAATCAGAAATACCACCTGGAATGACAGCTAGGGGCTGAGGCAAAGACTGGAGCTAAACAAAGACCACAGGAGGCTCTAAATTTCCAGAAGCTGGAGCAGAGAAACAGAACTTAAGCTTTAGGGACCAATCTTTCTCTGAACTTAACCTTCTCAACCCAGGTCTCTTTCCAGAGCCCCAGGAGCAGCTGCCAGACAACTGCTTAGATTCCTTAGACCTTGCCATATACCTAGGACAAGTCAGAACTGGTAAGCTGCTCCCTAAAATACCCATGTGAAAATAAAGACTGCTTGGGATTTTGTCTCATGGTCTTGAGCAACAGGGAGAAATCCATATGAGCAAATTTATACTGAAGACATCATGTGGTGTCACCTGGTTCCCAGGAAATAATCTACCATTGAGTTTGTTTTCCCTCACTTTTAAGGCCAAAATGCACATTCATATATCTGATTAAAGGCCAGCCTAAGGCTTTTTGTCTTTTCTAACTGTGAGAACACACCGGAAACTTGGTATATTGCTTGTAGCTCCCCTGAGCATGGAATAAGATACAGGTACAGAAAGGCAAGCCCCTGGCTAACTAGAGGGGGATTCCCCAGGTACACTGCATGAAGTAGGTGGTAAGCGTGACCATGAGAACTTCCCATTAGAGTCTAAGAGCCAGCACTTCCATAGGTGTGTTCACTGAGAAGAGAGCTTGATGCTAAGGCAAGAGACCATAAATGATTTATATGAATAGCTCTCTCCTGAAACTGATACTCTTGTGAATTAATTTCTTACATTTAAAGACATTTCCTCTGAGTTGAAAAAAAATATTGGATCATGTAGTCTTATTCTGCATTTTGTAGACAACAAATTAAAGCCCAAAGAGTTTCGGTGACCTACACAAGGTCACATGCCCAGCCCTATCCCAGCCTTAATGCTCTTTCTTTGCACTACACCCTACTGCCTCTGTGGACAACAAATACATGTGGGTCAGGTGACAGCTTAATTATGTTTACAGAACTCAATTTCTAAAGGAGCTCTACAATAACTTTTTTTCCCACCAGAAGTTAATAATCCCACTCCCTACACATCCATATGGCTCCGTTCTAAGCGTGTCTTTCTGCATAGTAGACCCACCTGCACTTCCCTTCTCAACATCCTGCCAGCCATTTGCCAGACATCACTGAGAACTGAGGTATCAACGAGCTTGAGAACACTGACTGACTGTATACTTGAAAAAGATGCAACATAATCCCTGGCAAAGACTTTTTCCACCATATACAAACACCTTAAAGGATGGAGAAATGTGCTTACAGTCAATATTTAAAATCTAATCTCCTTAGTTCTCTCTCAGATGTTTCCTTGACACCCTAGTTATAGATAAAAATTAATATTTAAACATGACCCATCTACACTGAGGCAATGAATGGGATCATGCACTTGAAGAGTCACAGTAATTAGTATTTGTCGAGCACCTGCTCTGTGCCAAGCACTGTGCTGGGCAGGGACAGTCTGTTCTGGAACACAGCTGTGTGGCTTCCAGCTGAACGTGGCCCATAAAATATTAAGAAGGCTGGTTGGCTTGGCTCCTGCCTATCTCTATGATGAGTTAATAAATGTAGTCAACGAGTAATTTAAAACAATCTGATATGTTTCAGAGACTCAGATCTCAGTGAACACTCTGGAAGACCTTAATTATCTGCCCCCTAGTAATCTAGAAGGCTGG